TCGTCCCTAAGTGGTTGTGTGTTTGAACATGATTGTTTCATCCTGATTATCATTTCATTAATTTGAATTCAAAAATATATTGTTTTTGAAAGTAGCTGAAGTACTGTAAAACAACAATAGCTACATGCCATTGGAGTGAATTGATTTAATGCATGACTTAATGGAATCTTATTTAGCTGAACTGGTCAACAATCTTATAGGAATATATTTTCTTTTAGCTATATATTGAATTAGGGAAATTACAAATTAGCTTAAAGGTAACATGCTAGATGGAAAGATGTGTTAAACAGTAATTTTAAATTAAGGGTTTTCAAGTGATTGAATTGTTAACAGTGGGTTTTACTCGCTTATATAAAAAAAAAAAAATTTTCTAGATGACAAATGAGAAAGTAGACACACCCACTTATTAGCTGATGTATATTGTACAGTGACTTGTGCATTCTTCGAACATAAGTGAATTACATGCAACAGAGTATGTGTTCCAAGTGATTTCTTTCTTCTTAAATCAGATTGCCGATTTAGCCAATGAAGACACTCCTCAGTTATATTCGGCATGTGGACGTGGTTCAAGGTCGTCCATTAGGATTCTCAGACATGGTCTTGAGGTGAGAAAACAACAGTCGTATGTAATCAAGGATTTGTTCAGTAGCACCAACTGCATGCTGACTTGATACACCATGTAGTGTAGTAAACTTACCTTAGGCAAGCAAATTGTACATGGAGTACTGTAAAATCTGTATTAGAAGCCGCATCCCTAATAGAAGTCGCACCCATTCTTTTTGAACAATTGAGAACCAAAAATTCATCACTTCTCATATGTGTAGATGCTCTAATAGAAGCTGCATCCCCTCTGTTGCATTGTACCATTTCAATAGAAGCCACGGCCCTTAGTACAGAATTTACAGTAGTAAAATATTCAGAATGCATAATTGCATGATGGATACTCTCCATTGAATTCAATATGCAAGACGTTCAAGTACCTGTTGTTTCTTCCTCTAGGTATCTGAGATGGCTGTGTCTGAACTGCCTGGTAACCCCAATGCTGTCTGGACTGTCCGAAAAACGATTGAAGGTGTGTACGTTTGATTTTGTTTTATCAGTTCAATGTGTTAGTGGTCTGTTTAATACATCCTGGCCTCCCAGCTCATGATATTGATATGATGATTCATTATCCGTGTTTCATATGAAATTATGTGATTATCATTATAATAAATCTGATGCTTATGAGCAATTTGTATTTATGTGACTGTCACCAGATTAACTAATATGTATATATATATATATATATATATATATATATATATATATATATGTATATATATATATATTCAATTGATAAAAACTGTCTAACCCTGAGTTGTGCTCCAAATCTGTCTTTTGTCACAGCTGATTTGTTCCCGTTTTGATTATTGAATCACATGTGAGGCTTTGATTCTCTGCGTAAAAGAGAAACTTTGAAAAGTGAGAAACTGTGACTTCCTTTGTAAAAGAGAGAGAAACTGACTCCCTCTCTTTAAAATAAAGAACCAATAAAATTTGCAGTGTCTTTTGCCAAATAGTTCCAATAATGTAAAGAATGAATAATGAGAAATCTACTTAACAGTTTTTGTAGTTTGAAATTTTTATTTTGTTCATGACAGATGAATTTGATGCCTATATTATTGTATCTTTCGTGAATGCCACCCTTGTACTGTCCATCGGTGAGACTGTGGAGGAAGTAACAGATTCTGGTTTCCTAGGAACCACACCCACTCTGTCATGTTCTCTTATCGGTGAAGATGCTCTCCTTCAGGTATGTGACTCCTTCATTTATGTATGAAAGTGCATTCTAAGGATTACATGGTATTACATTTGGGAAACTGTTT